GAGAGAGAGAGAGAGAAGCGTTGGGCTGCAGCCAGCTAGGCATTGGCGTTTGGGGGTGTCCCAAATTAGAGGCTTGCATGCTTGGTGTGCAAGAGGGCGAGACAATCACCCTGCACGCTCCAATGAAGACGAGGGAGGGCTCGAGACCGGGCGCCACCCGACGAAAGTTGTTTGCTTGCTGAGGGATTATCCTGCTCTCGCCGTCACAGAGTAAAGCCCCGAGTCACAGCAAATGGAAGTGTGGCGCGGAAGCGTTAGAGCGCAGATCCCAAACAAAGGCGGTGCAGAATCGCGTTGTCAGGCAGCAGATATTGTAATGCAGCGGCCGCAGGGCTGCAAGTTGAACGAGACGAGTCGAGACTAGTATCGAGGGGAGCAAATGGCGTGCCTGTTGCAGGTACAGACGGACAAAACGGGACGCTACTGTGGTGTCTGACGCGGGCGGGCGGCGGGTCGAACGACATGTTGGTGTTGACCTGCGTAAATAGAGGCTCCGTCCGGGTCGGTGGCCGATGAAGTTTGGCTGGGCTGTCGTACGGGGTGGGCTGGTGTACGGAGTACGTATGCGGGAGCTTCTGCGAGAAAGTTGGGCGTCGTGTATCAGACGACATGGCAGAGCAACGCGGGAGCGTTGTGCGCGATGCGATGAGATGCAGTGCATGAAGCAGGGTGTCTGTATGGGTTGTTTGGACGGAGAAAGCTCAAGGTCCACTGGCGAGATCTGTGGAAAATCTACAGATTATGGGGGAGGGGAAAGGGACCTAGGCTGCTAGGCTAGGATCAGTGGTGGATGCGACGCTGTGATGTAGAGAGAGAGTTGAGAGGCGAAACTCGGTGACTAGGTTGCAGTCCTAGCTGCGAAAGGAAAGCAGTATGTTGAGAGGCGTGCTGGGGTAGTCGATGTGAGGCGAGAAAACAGGCCATTTGGGATGAAAATGCGGCATGTGAGAGGAGTCGGCCTCGAGGGAGAGAGCTGGGATGAGGAAAAAGGCACGAGGTATTACGGATAGCATGAGCGTAGATGCCTAACCGCAACATAAAGTGCAACGTCATAAAGTAGCTCGTGGTTATTTGGTCACCATGTTTTTCGTGTGTGTTTTTTTTTGTATTATTAAATTTTATTTTAATATTCGACGCCTTCGTAATTTAACCAGTTTTGACACATGGAGCAACTACAGTCTACCACACTGTACGGGGAACGGAGGAAGTAGCGGGCGCAGCGATTGGACACTGGGTCGTCGGGCCGGCGCTTGGCTGAGCCGGGGTTGCCAGAGGCCGCTGGAGGAGTGCTGCAGAGCGCTACGAGAGCAGTGACCCAGCCGCTGCAGGTTTGGAGCCACAGTGCTGACGCAGGGCCAACTCGCCAACCCGCACTGGGCGGCGACACGGCACCACCGAGGGCCGGAGCGGAGCAAACAGAGGCAGTTTGGGAGCGCGACAGACGAGGGAGGAGTGTAACTTGTGAATAGGTGCTGTTTTGACTCTATTCTGGACACGACGAGAGCGGGGAAAGACGTCTTCCATGCTGCACGTCAACATCTTGCCTCTGTGTAGTTGTAATTCCCCCCCTGCGTAAATTCGGTCGGCCTGTCTTGTGTCGGGTTGTGTTGCGTAGGGGTGGGTCTGCGAGGCCGGCACCACCAACCCGATCCGCCCGTTTGTGCTTTGGATGGGTCCCCTTGGAGACGGACGAGGTGGCAGGTGGCAGCGCGGTGGCAGCGCGCGAGTGGCAGCAGTGGCAGCTGGCAACTAAAAAAAAAGGTGTGGGTGTTTTTTGTATTTTTTCTCAGACCACTACAGCGCTGTAATGCCCTACAACTGCGCTGTAGCTACCTTTTTGCCTGCCCCTCTCCCTTCTCCTCTCCTCCCCTCCCCGCCGCACCGCCCGTCCGCCTGCCTGCCTTTGCCCTGCGCCTCGCCTCGCCCGCCTCTTCTCCCCTTGCCCTTCTCTTTCTACCAACTCGCCGACAATTTTTTTTTCCCTCCTCTCCCTTTGGCCCTCACATCCAGAGTTCTTTTGGAGCTTCCAGCTGCCATCGCAGTTGATTATTTTGAATCGCCGTCATCATCTCCGAGTTTTTTTTTTCCTCTTCCCTTTTTCCCCTAGTCCCCTCCGTGCCTATTTTGGTGCGCTTTTCTGCTCCGTTGGTTCTGTCCGCGCGCGCGTGCGACGTGTGTTGCCCCAGGCTCTCGCCCCCGACTTCTCCGGCCGCGCAGCGTTTGCTCTTTGTCCCGGCCTCTTCTCCCTCTTCCACCACACTTTTCTCGTCGTCGCAAAACTACAAAACCGAATCCAACAACACATCGCGCATCATCTCGCGCCTCTGCTATCTGTCTCTTTTTTTTTTTCCTCACATCTTCTACCCACCACCCTCGCGACTATTCGCGCGCACAGCATGTCCGGCGTCATTCGCTCGACCGCCCTCAGGGCCGGCGGTGCCTGCGTTCGCTGCCGCAAAGGCAAGACAAAGTGCGTCTACGATCGCGGCCCCGGCAACCCGTGCAAAAATTGCTCCAAAGGCATGCATGACTGCTATCTTCCATCCGAGAGCGCTGCGCATCACAACGGCCAGAGTCCTGCTCGTCACGCCACCCAGTCTCGCCCATCGCGCGAGAGTCTCCCGGCCTCCGGGCCCGGGTCCTCTGACACCAGGCAAGCCGTTGTGGGCTCTAGCGGCCCCAGGCATTCCCAGGGCAGCTCCGAAAAGTAAGTTGTCCTCGAAGAGCTTTTGTTTGGATTCGCACGACAGTTTGGATATCCTTTATTTTTGTTTGCTTTTTTCGCTCATCTCGTCTTTCTGTTGCTCTTGTCGTCCTTGTTTCCTCCCGCCTTCCCCATTCTTCTCATTCTTGCATCCCGTCCTCGCCTCCCCTTAATTCCGTACCACCCCTTCCCGTACCACCCCAGCGCGCATCACCAGTCGCTGCCTCGTCTCCCACCACCACCACCTCCTCACCGCGGCCCAGCTCCCCTTTCCCCCTCGTTGTCTTTCTATTTCCCCCAGTCTCACAGAGCCATTTACCACACACGCGCTGGTCCCCGATATCCACCTCGATTTTTTCTGCTTTTCTTTTTCTTTGGCCTTTTCTTCCTAGGCCCGTTTGGCTACCCGTCCTCCTCCGTCACCATTCATTCTTCCCCCACAAAAAATAATAGGCGTTCGGTCTGTGACTGGGCCGAGGTTTTTTGCCCCTTGTGCCTGCGCTGCCCGCCGGTTACTTGCCCTGCATTCACTTGTGCTTCATTCACTCCCCGGCCCTGCCCGCCGCCTCCCGCACGCTTCTTCGCCATCCTTTACGCCCACCGGTATTTCGTCCCTCTCTTACTAATCTCCACTTTCTAGATTGACTCCAGAGCTTGTTGCCGAGTGTGAGCGCGTCGTCTCCAAGACCTTCCCGGCTTGTGTCGCCTTTCACAAACCTACTTTTCTTCAGCAGCTCAAGAATGCTTCTCTCGAGTCTACCCTCGTCTACGGTCTCCTGGCTTGTGCATCCAGGTAAGCTTTTGCCGCGCCTTTGTTGACCTTCACCGCGTTCCTCGGCGTTCTTGGGCCTACTCCTCCGGATCGCCGCATTTCTCTGCGGGTCATGACCCAAATCTTGTTGGTGCCCGGTCCACCGACCGAGCGCCGCTTCGTCCGACGCGCCTCACCACACTAGCCCTGCCTGTTTTTGTCCTCGTCCGCCTACGCTCTTCCCTTACTGACTTTGCCCTCTCCAGGAGCTCTCCCAGCCTGATCCGCCGTCATGGCACCTCTACTCAGGCTGCCGAGATGTATGCCGCCAAGGCCATGACCCTCATCAACGGCAATCTTGATCATCCCAACATGGCCGATATACAGGCCCTTTGCCTCCTCATTATTCATGAATGGGGTTCGCGCAATGCTGTCCGAGCTTACATCTATCTTGGCCAGGCCGCACGCATGCTGCAAATGTACCGCGTTCTCAACAGTCACCACGCTGGCGGGAGTGCTGATCAGTGGCTGCGTGATGAGAGCTGCCGTCGAACCCTCTGGCTGATTTACATCCTCGACTGCCTTCTTACCAGCACCCCTGGCCGCTTCCCCGCCTTGACTGCCCAGGATACTGCGACCGTCTCTCTGCCTTGCTCGGACATTAACTTTGCCTTTGGTAACACCGTCTACATCAAGTCGCTGGTCCAATACTTGAACCCAGGCACCCTCTCCCCCCCCAGCTATGGAAACACAGCTGAGATTGGCGAGTATGGTTATATCGTCATTGCCGCCACTCTTTGGCGTGACGTCGTCGGTATGCTCACCACCAGCCCTCTTCACAGCTACGACGAGGAGGACTGCGCCCGTCTCATTGGCAAGATTGAGGATCTGCGTACCACGCTGCCCATGCAGTACGTCGACAAGCCTGGTCAGATCAACCTGCACATGACCATGGGCTCAGGCTACACGTTTGCCATGCTGCACTGCCTCTTGCACTGCGCGACCATCTTTGTTCACCGAAGACGGCTGCTGCAGGACGTCTTCGCCCACAACTTCAACGTTGACACTTACCGCGCGAGCAGCCGCGGTCACGAAATCATTGATAGGGTTTTCAGCTCATGCCACGCTACTCTCTCGCTGCTGCTTGCTGTTGAGTTGGGCACTGAGAAGGAGCAACCGCCGTGCTTCCCCATCTTTATGCTCTTTTCCGCCTTTACTGCCAGCGCCACGGTTGCCTATCTTTCTCTCAAGGGCCTCACACCCAACAATGCTGTTGAGACGGCTGCCCACATTGTTACAGATGGTCTGCGTTTCATGGCTGACGGCACCGACAACTGGCCTCTTATGGGCAGCTGGCTGCGGCACCTCACCGTCATGCAGCGCGTCCTCAACAACGATGCTGCCGCTGCTTCTGGCCGCCCGGATTCCAACGCCAACAGCCACAACGGTACCAAAGACGAGGTCTCGTCCAACGCTGACTCTAATCCCGAGGCCATGGACTATGACCAGACCAATGGTCAACAGCATGCCACTCCCCGCTCCATCGGCGAGCACTCTCGTGACGGTAGTGAGCCACCCACCGTCACTATTCCCCGCCGCCCTGGTGTCACTACTATCAATGGTCACTCGAGCGGTGTGGCTACTCCCAACGACGCGACGCCGCCCCCGAGCAGCGTCCCGCAGGCTACCATGCATGTCGAGGCCAAGGCACAGAGTCCAGAAGCCCCCTCCAACGGCAGATCGTCGCATGGCCCGGAAACCCAGACCACTGCCACCAGCCAGGATATGACTGCGCCTGAGCTTTGCGCTGCGTTTGAGCGTCAGCTACTCGACCTTGACGACCTTGCCGCTTTCATGGGTGGTGGTGTCTAGGGCTACAAATTCGCGATGACAGTTGATTTTCTTTCCAGCGGTTGGCTGTTTGCTGCCAAATTTGTTCTGCTGCGATGGCATGTGCGAAAGCAGACTGCCAGCGTATTTTAGCGTACCCCCCTTATACTATTATGGCGCGGTGAATGGATGAATGTAATCTTTGGGACAAGTGTACCGAGTTGTAGGATTAGCTTGCTTTATGACCAGGCGAAATGGAATGATTATGGTGGATGGATAATGGATATAACTCACGAAAAGAAGAAAAAAAGCGACGCTCACAAAATACCCCTCCCCTGGCTTGGACATGGCGTTGGATGGATGACTGGGAAGACATGTGTTATGAAGGCATGCGGTTGAGACCAGGGGGTTCATGTGTTTGCCACGGCGGCATCTATACAACAAGGCAGTTTTTTTCTTCTCTTAACCTGTTTCTTTCTTTCGAATATATTTTTTTACCAATATATATACATCTCTTGTCAAACAGCCTGAAACCTAGCTTTTTATTGGACCATGATTGTCATCGTGACTCCCCTCGTTTTTCCGCATCGGCGGTGGGAAGCGGACGGCAGGAGAAGGTTGGGCTGCCGCGTAAACAAGTATGCTCTGATGCACTCTATCTTGACCTTGTCACTCGTTGTAGTACTGAATCCGCTTCTACCAGTCGTTGAGCGGCGAGTCGCTGCGCAGTCTCCTCACACAAAGTTCACGCTCTGATGAGGCCCTCTGGAACGCATGTAGCACACGGCGGCTTGCGCCCTTTTTTCGTCCTTTCAGGCGGCAGGCAAACTTGCCCTCGTCGAAGCCGGGTAGGCAAGTAGAGTGAAATGGAGTTTCCTTTGACGTTTGACTTTTGGGGCTCCTACTTTGTATTTTTCTTTCAAGAAACAAAAGGGGTCTTTTCTATATAACGCACACAGCTAGCTACAAAAGTCATAATTGGGGTCCTGGTCAATAGCTGTACTGAAATTAATGTCTAGACTTTTTAATCAAGTTGCCGTGGTGGTACAGGGTTGTATGCATTTCTTCGACGCATATCTCGGGTATTTGGGCTTCACCATTACTGGCATTTCACCCATCTGACAGTGACAGATTACGACTCCAAGAAGTAATTTGGGCAAGAAACGCTGGAATTTGCTTCGAACTTTAGAGTCAGCTGGCCAAGGGCTTAATATTTCAAAAAGCTTCAAGTATGCTCTTCGTGATGGCCTCGGGCTTGTTGAGCCTTGACCTTTATGACTGGGCAGCTCCACCTAAACCAGAGAGTTGGAAACGGACCAACAGACACGTAGATTAATCAGCAACGTTCTCGTGTTACTTTTGGTTCAGAGGCAGTCAGGGAAGAGAGGATTTTACAGCGATTTTCATCGGTACACGAAATTCAGGACTATCCGTACAGCGCTGTATGGTACTCAATGTGCGAGTGTTGGGCTCGGCGAAAGCTTGCAGGAAGACGCATCGGCAAGCAGGTTTGAGGGTTCAAGAAGAAAAGAGAATGATAAAAAGAGTCCTCTGCATACTGTTTTGTGGGAAAAGAGCATCCAGATCAACAGCCTCGATGCGGTGACTGGGTCACGAGGGCCGGGTTGGAAAGGTCTCAGCTTTGACTTCGTAAAAGCCTGCCAAGAGTGGGAATGAGCTACCAGTAATGTCGTGCATTGTCATGTTTGCTATCACAAAAAAAAAAAAAAAAAAAAGCAAGACAGATGTGCATCTCGACCCCCCAACACACGCGCCATCATACGGTCGGTTCCACGATTTCCGCGGGGCCGCCCGCAGGCAAACGACTGCACGTATCATGTACGGTCTCCCGTTTTCTTACAAACCCGTTCTTTTCTTCCCTTGCTCGACTCGGGCAGGAGTGTGCAAGCAAGACAGAAGCGGGATATCAGAAAATTGCCAGAATGCAACAATCACTCAATACCGTTCGATGAAGAAACCGACAGGGGTAACTGCGTTTTTCTGGGCAGCAGAGTCGGGCGACCAGGGCGGGCGGGCGCTGGTACGGCGCGGAAAACAGGGGGCGGACGAGGTTTGATGAGATGAGTATTACTGGGCGGTGATGAATTGTCTATGAAAGCACACTTCTTGAAGGATAAATATGAGGCGAGGTTGCTGCGTCGATTTGCCTGATTGATGTGCCCGTTTGAGGACGACCAACAGCATACATCCTTCAAAGACGGCAGCTTTCCCACCCGCTTTCAGATTACCTCTCATCGCACCCTCACCTTGGCATTTCTCATCTCCCCTGAAACACCATGCAAATTCTTTCTCTCGCCGCCATGGCCGCGGCGGCGGCGGCGGCGGCCTCCTCGCCTAGCACTTTCGCTTTGAACGCCGTCCCCAACAACAGCACACACGTCAACCTTGTCACTACCTATGCGCATCTCTACCAAAAGTATCGCATCCCCCCTCCCCCTTCTCTCTCCTCTGCACTTCATCAGCGCTCTCTCGCCAAGCGCTCCTCCTCCTCCTCTGGCTGCGCCACCTCTGGCTCCGTCACCGCCCACCCAAACGCCTTTGTCGACGGCGCGTACCTCATCGATGTCGACATTGGCACGCCGCCGCGACGCTTCCACCTCAATCTGGACACGGGCTCCAGCGACGTCTGGGTATACGGGTCCGTCATCCCAGACAAATTTCTGAGCGGTCAGACACAGTACGACCCGGCGCGGAGCCGCACAGCGCAGCTGCTGCTGCCGCCGGTGCTCTGGCTGGCGGGGTATATCGACTTTAGCTTCGTCGGAGGCATAGTGTATCGAGAGACGGTGACGGTGCTGACGGAGGAGGGAAAAGGACAGGGCCGGCTGGTGGTGGAGGACCAGGGCTTGCAAGTGGCGGCGGTGGTGTCGGAGAGCATTGCGCAGGATAGAGGGATGGATGGCATAATGGGGCTGGGGTTCGATAAGCTCAACTTTGCGTTTCCGACGAAGCAAAAGACGTGGTTCAGCAACATCAAGCACCGGCTGAGCGCGCCGTTGTTTACGGTTGATTTCCGACACCGAGAGCGTAAGTGCACAGAGATGTGGGACAAATCTGTGCTCGGATTTGAAGCATCCGAAGGAGTATCTTGGTTGCTCGAGCTAATGATTGTGTGTAGAGGGTAAATTCACGTTTGGGTATATTGACGAGGCAGTCGGCCCCCTCACTTACACGCCCGTCGACGCCAGCGCAGGCTACTGGACGTGGACCTCACCCGGCTATGCCGTCGGTAACGGCCCCTTTCAGCAGCGAGCACTCACCGGGACGCTCGATACCGGCACGACCATCATGATCATGCCCTCCGACGTCGTCAAGGCCTACTACGCGGGGGTGCCGGGGGCCACGTACAGCGCCGCCGAACACGGCTACGTGTTTGACTGCGACGCGGCGCTACCTGACTTTACTTTTGGCGTGTCAAGCAACGCCACAATCAAAGTACCTGGATCGTACATCGAGGCGTCGACGGCCGAGAATGAACCGGGCAAGTGTGTCGGGGCGCTGCAGAGCGGCTTCGGCGACATTGTGGTATTTGGTGCGCCGGCGCTCCAAGCGAGCGTAGCGGTCTTTGACGCAGAGGGGCTGCGGATCGGCTGGGCCAATAAGACATTGGCAGCGTAAAGAGATCTAAAGAGACACAGTGCTGATCTTATGGCCTGGGGGGTTGTGTGTATTGTATTGCTAGGAAAACGGCAACTCTGTGCTAGATGAATGTGAACGGCACAGATACTGGCGATGCAGATGAACCCACAATTTAGTAGATACCGTTTCAACAAAAGTAGCCTCACAAGCTCCCGCATCAAGCTCCCAGACAGTCAGAAGGTGGCTGCATAGTACGTTAAGCGTGTTCTGTGCGCAGACAAACGCCAATTAGTTTTGTAACGTCTCCTATCAAGCATTTGTTTACTGCAGTACACTCCACACCTGGCCTTCCGTTGAAATCTAGGTACCCAAGAGGCAGCGATGTGATAGGGTATCCTAGACCAAATTCGTTAACAGGAGGGGAGCAAATGAAGGGTTTCTGAAGTACACTTGTGGGGAATCTTGGCCTCTCACCTGCAGTGCCAGCAATGATGAACATGGTCCCATCACCCGGTCCAAGGATGATGTCAACCTCATTCTCTTCCAACACTCTGTGTCAATTTCTCTTTTTGCCGCAAGTGCTACAAGCCTACTCTATCAATTTGCGATATTCCTCTGGATCCATGGTGTCGTGCAAGGCTCTGATGAGGCCAGCTTGATTTGCCGCGCCTAACAAAGAAATGAGTTCACCAAAGATCATGGCAGTATCATAGCGGCTTACCGGGAGGGGGACTCTTCCACTGCATGCTCTTCATTGAACTCGATAAGCTCTTTAAGCGTATAGACTTTACAATCGTCGACGCTTTGAAGATATTCCTCCAAGAGAGCCTCGAAAGTGGTGTCTGTCTGCGCATTAGCAGCAACATATATGGTCTTAGTTTAAGGGTCATACGAAAAGCATACCAATTGTCTCTCTTGCCGTCCTGTGAAGATTCTTTGACTGAGAGAAGTCATACATGCTTCACGACTTTAGAAACAGGCTTAAGTTTCTCGTAGGCCACATTCCATTCTCGTAGCTTTCGGTGCTGTGAGTGGCATTCTTGATCATCCCCGGGCAGGAAGACATACCATTTAATCAGCAGTATCTTTCTCATACTTCACAATCTTTGTTGGGCAAAGCCATGTTTCTGGATCCAAGTATCCAATGCGTATATCACCCCAACAATTGTTCACAGCGCTCGAATAACCCCCTTTCGGCACGGAGGTACGGGACGGGACGGGTCTACAAGTTCGTCGAGGAGCACTAGCAACTTTATGATTTATATATTTCTATTGTGTCATTTTGTGAAAATCGACACACAAAGCAAATCTCGTCCACCCATCAACACGAAACTCGTCTAGCGTGAGGCCTTGCATGTAAATCTCTGTAGCAGCCTCATATTTGCCTTATTAAGAGCCTAGAGTCTCGGCGATCATACAAGATATAGTGTATTTCGGCCCTCCGACCAAGCGTCACCTTTCCCAAGCCTGCGGTTAAATAACTTCAGCTCCGCTAGCGAACGCTAGCTATAGAGAAGAGTACTAAGACCCTGATCACGAGAATTAACATAAACGATAAACAGTACTTTCTGCGCTTGGGTACCCTTCATGGGCATGGGAGGGGGTTTTTTTTCTTTCACTCGTCCTCACGGCTTTTGTCAAAGACCGACAATACGGCAAATGGAAAAAATATGCCGAGTGGACTGCCTTTGCGCTTGTGGCTGTTTTAGCGTGCCTCCGCAGGGTTGGGGGAAATGGGGGGACCTGGATTTTGACGAGGAGATGAGGAGCGTCGCAGTTAAATTCAAGGTTATCCTACACGCAGACGGGGATCTGACTTCAAGGTAAAGTCATGGATCAGCGGCATTGAGTTTGAAGGAATCGATCTCTGGGCGCAGATCGCGTCAGAGAAGGGCCATCATCAGATGGACAAAGCAGGCCCATATACATTGGCACGAGTGGTTGTATGCACACGAGGCAAATGAAATCTTGTCGTCGTACTTGTTGTTTGCATGCAAACCTGGACGGAATGACGGAGGTCAGTGTATCTGGGCTAAATGCTGTGACGACGACGAAGACGAATGATGGTCCAGACATTCGACGCAGCGTCATGCGTGGTGGCGCTAGGATGCATGAGGCATAAAGCTTCCCCGCATATTGATGGGGAGGGAGCCTGAATGGAGATGTGGGAAAAGGGCGAGTCGGAAATGAAGTTTCCGCACTAAAATGTTGGTATGTATTGCATGGGTTTTTTGAAAGACGGCGGAGGGGGTGAGAGTGCTTGTCATGGGGTAAAGGCTTTTCCGTTGCAAGCCGTACTTGGGGAATAAAAAAATAAATCGACTGGTTTTACTTGATCATAAA